ATGTCCTTAACATAACTAAGGTAACAAAGAATCCGGTCACAACTGATGAGTACCAAAAATAAGTCCGTTTATGCAGATTTATGTCACGCTCTATTTTCGGCTGCGCCGGCAGGCGCGTGAACTTGCACGAAGGTGCTGTGCTTGAGCTCTGTCGCCTTACAACAAACGCTCGTATAGGAAAACTTTATACGTAGAAGTACATTCAATAACAATGAATTAGTCACAGGGATTATTCACGATCAAACGGCTTGATAAATCGACAAAGACGTAGACCGCAACGCGCCCGTATTTTTTCTCTAAGCATAGTTTAAGCGTCACGTATTTTGCTCAATGTGTCGTTTTGTAAGTTTCTAGCAATTAGTTGATGCATGTATCGCGTTGCCGAAATACTGTAAGCGAGTTGTATAAAGATCGATTAATGACCGGGCCCGACCTAAGTTCAACGACATAAGTTCGTTGTTTAAAAGAAAGATTAAAATTCTCCTTTTTATTCTACGTAAAGTTAAGAAAATAACACATGAAAAACATTCTATATAAAAATAGCATTACTTATTATCGACAACTAGTGACACAATCGATAACAAAGTGCCAAGAGTTGACCGGAGAAAAAACAATATAATTCGCACTCGCCTCGACTTCCGAACGAGCAAACTAACCACTTGTTGGATTCGAGATGAGATCGTACTTTAAAAGACTTCGGCAGACCTTTGTAACTTCTTAAAACTTTTGCGTCTACATCAATCCAGTGAATAACATCTGTTCTGTTGCTTTAAGCTGTTTAAGATAATTTAAAATTAAAAATTTTGTACAGCCGACTTCAATATAAGTTATTAAGAATAACTCAAATAACTCAAAAACTATTGGTCCGACCTTGATCAAATTCATATGGGACCACTCGAGAAGTATCAGCTTTCATATAAAAAAGAATCATCGAAATCGGTCCACCCAGTAAAAAGTTATAAGGTCACACACATAAAAAAAACATACGCGTCGAATTGAGTACCGTTTCCTTTTTGGAAGTCAGCAGATAAAAATAAGTTTAAGCTAAAAATACTCCTTTAAAATTAAAATATTAATTTAAAACATTGTTTTTGTTTTATTTTCTCGCCATTTGCCGTATTTTATAGGTAATATAGCCTCGAGAATACTAAGGACTATTCGGAAACAGTTAACTTGTCGTGTGTAAAGTTGAGCGTCTGTAATCCTATGATGTTAACACGGAACACGTAGTCATAGTGCAGCTTTATATAGATTATTTTTGTTTGATATCTTATTCAGAGTTTCATATTAAATAATAACTGGGTCTTTTCTTCAACTAAAAAGCATATGTACTTGGTAGTAGTGTAGTGTATAAAGGTACAAAAACAGTATGAAAATAAATAAAATTACAAAACCTTATCTAGGTAAGATTTGGTACGAAACAAAAAGGGCTTCTTTTTGTTTTTTATTCTAAATTCTAAATCTAACTAAAGTCTTTCTTATATACTTGTATATTCAATAACGCGACTTTAGGATTGGCCTAGTTTATATTTCTTCTAGACTGCGTTTAACTTTCTCACTTTTTGTGTCAGGCTTATCGTTTAATACTTTCATAGTACTCAATTTACAGCTTCATTAAATACAAATTGTTGCTAGTTGTCATAGTAAATATTTAGTGTTGAGCTACAATAAATCAAAATGTTATTTGGAGCATCCGCAATTTCGACGATACGATAATTATTAACAAATTACGATAACGGCGGGTTTCATCTACTCGCCCACGTGTTGCCTCAACGTTATTCTGCGTCGATATCTCAATATAGCCAAACTTTCATTTCACATTTTATTTCTTCACTAGCTGTTCTCCGCGACTTCGCTCGCGTGTTAGGGTTTTTATGTTTTTGCGCGGAACCCTAATTATTTTTCTAAAATAAAAGTAGCCTAAGTTACTCCTTATGAAATCAGCTACCTGCCAGTGAAAGTCCCGTCAAAATCGGTCCAGCCGTTTCGGAGATTAGTCGGAACAAACAGACAGACAGACAGACAAAATTTTAGTAATATAAAAGTACCGTATATACTTTCATATGCAATTAGTAAAAAGCTGTAATTTTGACATTATAAACAGGCACTTCAATTTTATTTATTTGTATAGATATAATACACCTATTGTTGTTTTTTTAATTTAATGTGAATACAACTTGTTTTACGGATTCTATCCCCTTGAATTAACTTATTTTTATTTGTATATTTTGATTTAATATTCGCAAAAAATTAAGGTAGCCGGGGTTAAGTCTCCCATTAGGACGTTGAATACCTAAACTCCACTGTGCCCGTGATGATCTTAAAATAAGCCTAAATAACTAGTTTCATTCAATGCGTAGTGTTCGCATACAAGAAATCATTAATTAAATTGCCTCGAGCCTACTATAACAATTCAGTGTAAAGAAAATTATAAGCCATGCTTATTTTGAAACCACTTCGAGAATCTGCACATTAAATCTAATTTTATTAAAAATATAAATAATTGACTTTCATTTTACCTCCAACGATTTCATAAACTAAACTAACTGCCTTCCTAGTTTGGATTTTTTTAATTATCAACCAGTTTGTGCGAGGTTATTTCGTAAATGTATGTATACAAATTACAAAGTAGGAAACAACAGTTATCCACAATCCACGCCACGGTACAGACTGTTTTTCCCTTACTATTATTTTATCAAATTCACTATCAAATCTTAATAAATACGCGAAAAAAATGTTTGTATTAAGTATATGTAAGTCAAAGGATCACTACGTTTTATTAGTACACAGTGAATATGTTACTACTTGTATCATGTATGAACTCCCACTTCGATCACATCGTGACACTAGTCTTATCATCGTGTGAAGTCAAAAAACGCGTCCAAACTTAACCATATCCTATCACGTCTGTATCGGTATTACATTCTTTATATGTGGACGCTTAAATTTCCCTCCGATACTCGTATCTTTTGAGAACTGATTAGCGATGTGCAGTATCCCTCTTAGACGATTGGGGAATATCCGACTAGAGAGGGAACAATCAGGAGGTGTAACATATAAGTACGAGGGACGTATCAGATACGGCATCACAACGGCGTAACACATGATCACATATAATTTTGCGTCCAAACTAGCGATCTCGATGGACGATGGAAAATGTTTTATGGACGCCGAGGACGCAGCCACTGCTTCCTCGGCGTCCATAAAACATTTTTCTCGAAGTTTTTCTTTTATTTTCGGAAATAAATAAAAATCGCAATGTGCGAGGTCGGGGCTATACGGCGGGTGACCCAGTAATTCCACGTCTAACGTCGCCAAGTAGTCGATTGTTTGCTTGGCGGTGTGCGACGAGGCGTTGTCGTGAAGGACTCCTCCTTCACTACTCCTTCCTACTGCGATGTCGTTTCTCCCGAACTTTTTCCAAGACAAGTGGCAAGCAATTTTTAGTGTACTACTCTGCAGTAACTGTTTTTCGATCCTATAACAACACCAAAAAAACACCCAAACAGCAGACTGTCTCTTAGTTTCAGGATCATAACAATAAATCCAGCTTTCGTCACCCGTAAGTATGTCTAACACAGCATTTGAGTCACTTCCGATAAATCTTTGAACCATTTCACGAAACCAATCAACACGACGAAGTTTTTGTGCCTCTGTCAAATTAAGAGACATTCACCGGGCACAAAGCTTCCTGACCGCTAACTGTTCATGGAGGATTTTGTGTACTTGACTCATACCGATGCATAAGCTTGTCCGAATCTGCTGATAAGTCACTCTTTTGTCAGTCTCTATGATACGCCGTACAACACTGATGTTATCTACAGTCGTCGCCGTAGAAGGCCGTCCCTCACGCAGATCATCGGTGAGATTAGTGCGACCACGTTTAAACCCATTCGGCTTCATCGTGAAAGGCCAATCGAAGTCTATTATAACTTTCTTGTTGACTTAAATGCGTAGAAAGTCATAAAAAACGATTGTACGAAAATTTTCTCGCGTTAAATTCATGCTGACGTGACACAGACAATTTTCAATTTGCTGCCAAATCGTGAACAAATGACAAATTAATAAAATACATACACAATAATATTGGCAAAGAGTTCAATTCTCAAAATTTGAATTTATTTTTTTATTATATCGTTTACAAGTGGCTAGTTCTAAAAATTTTCAGTGTCGCCCTCGTATGTAAAATCCTTATTTCTATTCTTACTCAAATCTGCTCGCAGACGTCTAAATTATTATTCATTTCTCAAATTGCCGCTCTCTATTTTCCTCGCTACCTCATCTCGAACCATTGTTCCGGGATGACTTGCGCAATTTTAATCTTAGGCATAATTGTTACCGATAATAAAACACTCGGGGTGCGGTTAACAAGCTGTTAAGTTGAGCTATTAATAATCAGTGAACGCGAGATAACATGGATCAGACTGTGTTATAAACGGTTAAGTGTCTGCAATGTTGTAGAAGCTTAAGCTCGGTAATCTGATAAAATGTAGGCAAAAGCTGCTAATATAATTAAAACCTAAATGAAAAGGGATAGAAACTTTAGATTATAATTTTATACGTTTTTTGTACAAGTAAGGGGACAAATGAGCACACAGACAACATGATTGTACGTGGCCTGGTCTTTAGACAGCTACATCTTTTTTCCATTAAGTATCAAAATCCAAATGTGTTGACGACTCTGAGATGAAAATAATCTCCAGTTTCGAAATTTCGTTTATCGAACTTCTATCTTAACTCCAATACAATATGAAAATGATGTTATTCGGATCGGAAAAGAAACAGTGAAAGAAACATCGCAGCTATTTTCTTTTTTGTGTTTTTCTATAGCCAATGTCACAACAAATACATATCATAAAAAATTAAAAGGAACTCTTCTTCAAAAAACCTCTAAATAACTCTGAATACGAAGAAACGCAAAACACAAGTCAATATTATTAAACATAAAACAATGAGGATTCACGTAAAAAATAAATTCACACTATAAAAAGGGTACTTACGGCTTGCGATCAGTTCGGGTGCGACGAGGCCGTTGAGGTCGGGCTCCTCGCCGTACCAGAAGATCCATAGTTCCTTGGCGGCGCGGAGTGAGAGCGGCGGCGGCGCGGGCATGTCGTAGAGGTCGGGCGGCTGGTGCGCGGGCACGCGGCGCCACACGCACAGGATGTCGCCGGCGAGGCAGCGCGCGTAGCTGCTGATCACCGGGTCGGCCAGCGGCGCCGCGCCCTCCTCTCCCTCGCCACCACCGCCGCCGCCGCTCGACTCCCGCTCCCACACCAGCTTACGCCATTTTATGCCAAACAACTCCGTCTGCGAAACAAAATCACAACTTAGTATTATCATACTTTTTTTAAAAACCTCCATAGGTTTTTCATAGAATAAGGATGACAAACGGACACGCTGTCCACCTGATAATAGGTACATTACATGCTTGGCCCATACACCTTAACATCTATCCTTGATTAAGAATCAAAATGCAGATACGTTGTCACCCCTGAAGACTAAGGTGGAATGCCTCATTTCCACTAAAAAGAGTTTCCAGTTCTCTACACTCACTATACGAAACACAGCAGCATTAAGCTGCTATTTTACGCTGGTATCCTGTACATACTACATAGATGGCTCATCATGGCTCTCTACTACGTATGAAATTCTATTCTAACGCGCGTTACTTTAAATTGCACGAAGAAAAATATCCAGAACCGGAACAATAATTAATTTGTAGGCTATACAAATATTTGTTTCATTGTTTCATGCAGGGTCAAACCCGCGGCCCCCAGCGCCGGACGTAACTTCATAGGATTTGGTCCTCATTGATATTATATAATTTAAAATTAACAATTTTGTAAAACCGACTTCAATATAAATTATTAATAACTCAAAAACGCTTGGTCAGACCTTGATCAAATTTATATGGGACTACATGAAAAGCACCAGCTTCCAAATAAAAAAAGAATCATCGAAATCGGTTCACCAATTAAAAAAGTTATGAGGTTAACACACATTAAAAAAAAATTTATCAGTCGAATTGAGTACCTCGTCCTTTTAGAAGTAGGTAGAAAATATGATTTTTCGTAGTATCGTTGACAACGATTTTATTTCGCTAGCTGTGCGCTCATCTGTGCTCACCGCAACCCAGTGGTGACTATGACCAAATGTTTATGTAAATATAGTTATATGGTGTAGTATTTATTATAGTTTTTTATCGAAAGTATGCAAGTATTTTAGTATAACAGCTATTTTTCACAATATATACATTTTTGGTGCATTCTATAGGAGGCGGATGTTCAAGAAGAAATCTAAGCTTATTCGTTAGTGAGAGTTTAAATTAATCAGAGATAGAATGATAGAGTTTACATAAAATTAAGTTTAAAAAAATGTACAAAAAAATAATCTGAAGTAAAGTTCAGCCACATCATGAACGTTCAGATGCAACCACCACGATACAATGCAATTGAATTAAGCGCATCGATGACAACAAATCCACGCGGAAACTTCGAGGTCGCTCTAAAACTGGATTTGGCGTGATTCCAGAAGTGCAAAGGTGCTAGAGAAGAGGACTCCACGGACTTGGCGCTTGGGAAATACCGTGGAAGCTTTACACTAAAAGGAAACTTATTCACATAGACTGTATAATTTTACCTTCCTGGATTTAATGAACAGACAATAAGATTTGATCTTTGTCTGTGTGCACTTTCTGTATGCTATTACCTCGAAAGGAAAGAAAAATAACTGATATTTTTTTATAGAGGAAATGGTGACAAACGAAAAACCTGGCACACAATCCACCTGATGTTATGTGGATGCTGTAGCCCAAAGACACATCTACATCTATACTGGATTTAAAATAAAATAGAGGTAAGTTTTTAGTCACCTCTGAAGACTATGAAAGAATACCTCGTTGCCATACATTACGAAATAATTACGTTTGTTTTAAAAAATAACATATAATTTATTAAAGATTAGCTGTAGCCCGCCCGTTTCGCTAAGCTCAAATTAAAGTTTATAATTAAAATTTATAATAATTATTTAAAGTATCTTTCTAGAGAAAATTCAAGTAATTGAAGTAACCTTGCCCTAACACTCAGTCAGAAATTAAAGGAAAATGTGCCCAGCATTAAGACGTATTAGGCTGCAACTTTGCAATTTGAAGTACTTGTAAAAATAGTAAATTAATCGCATTACACACTTTTAGCCCATACCGAGGCGACGAGATAGGAGGCAGGTGTTGGCGACGACCTTCAGTATGCAGATATAATCAACGGGTCAAAAACCCACATTTCCCTGTCTGGACATACTAAACACAGTGCTCGGTGAATCTTTACAAGTTAAATCGCGCGCTCATTCGTAAAAAACGTAAGAAAGTGCACAAGCGCAGTTTTACTTACTTTATTTTAGACTTACTTTATTGGACAGGCTACACCTTGATTCTTTTCTACATTCAATTGTCAGTATTTATTCAGGATCATAAAAAAGAAATTTACGAATTCAAATAATTAAAAAGGAAAAGTAACAGTCGGAAAGTTAAAAAAACTACGCATAAAACGAGTAATTTATTTACTTCGCGTAATCTGCAGATGTAACGTAATTTTTTGTGACCTATTTTAGAAAGAAGAAGAAAAGAAGATAAATGGTTACTAAAAAGGTACCCAACTCAGCATAGTCTTGGAACTGATAAAGTACTTCGACACTGATCTTCCGTGTCTGCCAATAAAATTTAACGAAAACTAAACTTAACAATATTCATTATTATATAATTTTAAGTTAATACGCACATATAATATATTTGAACCATACACATGATTACACTACGACATATGTAAGTACTTATAATAAATTAATATAATAAAAGTAGGAATTACTTACATAAAATTAAAAGAAACGAATCAACGGAATAGAAAAGTATGTAAGACACAGTAAATAATTGTCAAGTTGATTTTTGAATACTGAGTAAGTATTTTTTGTAATCATATTTAAACAAACTGATTGAAGCTAGATTTCTAATTGGTGGTGGTATGTTGTTCCACCATCTCGTGGCAGAATAACGATAGCTACCTCAAAATGCCGATGTACTGTGTCTTTGACTTACTAAACGAGTTGCTATTCTAACTTGTCGCTGTGAAAAGTGTAATTTGTTATAAAGATACTGTGGTGTGTGTGTGTCACTATGATACCAAACAATAAGCTGGCAAAATGAAGAGAACGTCGAGACTGCATATTCATTAAATTACTGGTGTTGAGATAAGGTGTGTTACATGGGTCCGCTTTGGTATGTTAAAAGAAAAACATGAACAAGCGTTTTGCATAATTTTCTTTGTATGAGCAGCCTTTGTATAACTTTCTTTGTATGAGAGAGGAAACACTGGCCTACTGCATCAGCGTAATTAAGCTTAGAAAGAATTAGTGACTCACAAAAGCATATCCTAAGGTCTAAACTTAAATATTTACGTTTTTGGTATAAAATTTTTAGCCTAAAATAACAATTTTTGACAACTTCTAGGACATGATTATGAAATTTCAATTTGCTGTTCATTAGTACAGCCAGGTTTTTTAGTCTCTGTCACTTGTTTAATATGTTTATTCTGTATTTTTAGCTCTAAAATAAACCTATTAATCCTATCTACTTGATTTTTGGACCCTAAGCACAAGAAATTTGACTTTTGAGGATTTAGCAATAAGCTGTTTTTATTAGACCATTCAACTACGTGTGTTAAATCTGATTCATTTTTGTTACTGCTAATAGTTTCTGAAGGTCTAAAAGAATAATAAAGCTGCATGTCGTCAGCATAAGCATGAAATTTGCAATGTTTAATGCATGAAGCGATATCAGCACTATAAAAAATAAAAAGGAGTGGACCCAGTATTGAACCTTGACTGACAATTGATATATCAGAGTCTTTTAGTATTTGTTTTAGTAATTACTTCAACTCTTTAGAGACACAACAAAAAATTACAAAGCAAGCCTATGCATATTTAATATTTAAAGGCCGATTTTTTTTGTTAAATTAAATGTAAAACAATGGTCAAACAAAGATACGATTATTTAATTTTTGAGCTTGACGTGAATAAATAATATTTATTCACGACAAGCTCAAAAATTAAATTATCTTGGTAGCAAATATTAAAAAAATATTAATAAATGGTAGTGGTATCGATCTGCAACATAAAGCCGAGCAAATATTTGAATTAGTTCCGCGACAGACAACTTGAGGTCATGTGACTCCCGCCACTGGATATTAAATAGCCTGCTATTACAGGGTCAACGGTCTTGTACCCGCGATGTGAACATCTGCGGAGGAAGAGGGTTCTTTTCACGCACCTGGCAGACGCTGCGCGCGTGGGGCCGCATCGACCCGACGCGATAAGGGGACGAGTTCGATTTGGAACGGGTTTAGTGGTAACATTGAAACGGTGGTTATTGGTCGTAATGAGCCGCGTTTAGTGCTCACCCGATGCGGTAACGCTTAATATTTCATTACTGATATTGTCGATTTGATTCTTAACGGCTACCTTTATACTTTGCATCTTTACACGCTTTTAATAAACTGTTTTAACGCCGTTTGTGAGTCGTTAAATTGTGTGTATAAATTATGCCATCATATGTAAAAAAAAAACAAGTCTCGGAACTCAGTTCTTCTTCTTCTACCGTAAAAAGTTGTGAGATCCATGTAATAAATACCAAGTCGGTTAATTTATTCAGTCCCTACTTAAGGGTCCTTCTGTCTTAATTTATTACGTAATTAGCTAACCTAAGAACATCTTATAGTGACCACATCAATATTAAAAATCTTTTATATTTAAAATAAATAGATTGACTTGGCCATCGCATGAAAACACAATGTATCTCTCAAGTAATACATATTATATTAAATTAGATTGTTTAGTGCGATTGCCAAGTCAATTTATTTATTTGGAACATATATTTATATAGGATTACAAAGTTATTCGTGCAGTTGGTGTATCTCGAAAACTGAACCGAAATTGCAAAATATTTTAGCTTTTCCTTGATTTATATACTAAACAATAATTGTATTCCAAATTTGAAGCTTCTATGTCTGCTAGAAGTGCCTTAGAGTTTTGATGATCGGTCAGTGAGTGACAAAATTAAGAAACTATGACTAGTTATAATTCTTAAACTACTGGTTCAAATTTAATGAAATATGAAATAGTTTTATCCACAACGAAGTTGGGTTTCGAAAATGGCCTGAACTGCTTCGAGAAAAGGATGGTACGGCCGGCCCAGATATGTAGGTATATACCTATAATGGCTATTGTAAATGTTTTTTTTTTATATTTCAACAGTCTACTGT